TAAGTCTTTCTGGGGGAGGAAAGCCTCGTCTTTCCCCCAAAGAGTGGCTGGGTTTGCTAACTGCTCACCTTGCCAGTCAGCCGTCCAGTGAGTGACCACTACTGCCGCCGCCACCAAGTCTCCTGAACAGCAACCCACCTCCCCAGACCCGCTGCCAGCAAACAGATAAATGCCTTCTCTCCGTCGCGTGCCCGAGGCTGTCACTCTTGGCAGAAGCAGGAATCCTCCTCTTTCTACCGCAGAGCTGCTAGCGGCTTTGAACTTCTGACCAACAGTTAGCAGACAGCGCTACGAGGGCGGGCTCGTTCTGGCTGCCAGCGAGCGGTGTCCAGGAATACACTGGGATGGATTTGAGCCACGCCACGTCTCTGCCCTCCACACGGCCAGATACTTTGCTTTCCATCAAAGGCTCAGGGGCATTTTGCAAAACTCCAGGGCAGTGAGTCCCAAAGTGGGTGACATGCCCCCCTAGTAGGCAGTGCTGGAATGAGCCAGGGGGTGATGGGGGCACGGACAGTTGCCAAAACAGATGCCTATACTCTGTCTTGGGCACACACGTTTTAACCACCAGGGGAGCTGAGTCATTGTTTTGTTTTTCAAGGAAGTGGTTGGCCAGAGAAGTTCGGGGACCTGTGCTGGAGGTTGTTAAAGACCCTGTGGTTCTTGTTCATCTGAATCTGTAGAGGCACCTGGGTCAGGTAGCAATAGATGAACCTCGAGTCACCTCTGCTTCTGATTCTCCCACAACGGGGTCTCCGGTCCACCTCCCTCTTCTGTTTTGTCTCTGACCACTTGGTGGCCCCCTGGCTCACAAAACGGAATGAAGGCTGTTTTCCCAAGTAGACCTTCTGGTCTCGCCCCTCACCCTGATCCATTTTCCTCTGCTCATCTTCCCTGCCAAGTCAGCATCTTGCCCAGGCAGCCCTCCTCCAGTGGGTGGGCATGGAGCACCCAGTCTTCTCGGCCAGAACAGCCACCATCTCTGGCGGATTACTAGGGTGTTTTGGTGAGTCTCCTTCGAAGACCTCAGCCATCAGTATGGATTGCCGCTCAGTGTAAGGAAACCCCAACTCCTCACCACTGGTCCCACCAACCACATCATGGCAGACGGAGGGCGAAGGCCATTGACAAGGATCTCATCCTGCCCGGGCCCGCAGTCAGTGCTCATGGACGCCACAGTCAAGATGTCAAGCCGAGTACTGCCGTGGGCCAAACGGCCGCACACAAGTTCTCAAAAGTGGTAAAGGGCAAAGCTGTCACATTGAGGACTGAGGCACCTGCATCGAGCCACGGTATTGCCAGTCACTGCTTGTGCACGGGGAGGTCGGCCACTGCACAAGGCAAGGCCGTAGAGTTGCTGCATCCAAACGACGGCGCTGACAAAGATACGTGACCGTGGACTGCCGAGGAACAAGCAGCGCTGTCCTGGGGGAAGTACAGCCCCATGGACTTTGGACCAGTTTCTGGACCAGGACAGAAAGAGACAGGCTGCCGTCCCCAGCAGGCCCCAGCCGGACAATGAACTGTGCGGACGGGGTGGGTCCTGCAGGGTTTCCTTGATGCTCCAGGGTCGCGCTCGGCTGGAACTGGAAAGAATGCCGTCCTCTCCTCCCAGCGGTGCTGTGGCTGGTGAGGGCTTGTCTCCATAGCCACCGCCAAGAGCCCTCTTTCCAGAGGGTACTTGGAATGCATCGAAGCTTTATTTTTCCACTTAGCGAAAACTCGACATTTGCCTTAAAGTTGCAGCTTTTGTGTTTGACGTGCAGGGTATGACAATGATGGGAATGTGTGAGGCTCGTTAAGACACACACACACGCTGCCGTTGAGTCAGTTCTGACCCACAGTGACCTGTGGGACAGCTTAGAACTACCCCGTGGATTGCCAAGGCTGTTAACCTTGACAGGAGCTGAGAACCTCATTTTTCTCCTATGAAGCAGCTAGTGGGTTTGAGCAGCTGACCTTGAGGTTAGTAGCTCAACCCATAAGCCAATGCGCCACCAGGGAGCCAAACATGTGGTTTGGCCCCACTGAGGACTAGCTGCAATGGCTAAGGGTAGAATGTTATTCCTGGAATTGTAGCCATCGCCATCCGGCCAGCAGAACGTGTTACAATTACAGGCTGGGGTGATAAATGAGACCATGTCAGCCGCTGTTCCAAGCAGTGTCACAGTGTAATCATTATATAACACACCCTCAAGTGTCATTTAGTGACCAGGCTAACAAGGCGCAAAGGAGAACCTGGCTGGCCTGGCCGAGGAGCCGCTCTGTGCCCGGAGATGGCTGGGCCGCATGCAGGGTGTGACTGTCACGCCATTCATTTTCCTTCCAGCCCAGACAGATCCGGGCTTTGCCCTCCTGACCTGTAAACCAGTCCCTGTGAGATTAAAAGTACTCAGGGACACCCAGCAACACTCGGGCTGCCTCTGGCGCAAACCTTGGGCTCCTTCTCCCATGTGTGCGTGACTCCTAAGTGTGGCCGTGTGACAGTGCACACCACAAGCTGGTCCACTCACACCCACCGCACCCAGGAGGCAGCTCTGTCTGCTTCCACACAGATGCACAGCCTTGGACACCCGCTGGGGAAGTTCTGCTCTGTCCCTTTGTGTTGGCACCAGCTGGACGGCAAGGGCACTCCCAGACCGGCCTGTGCCTTGCTGTGGATTGTGACTCATGGCCACCTCACATGCTGGAGGCAGGACTTCCCTCCATCCTCCAGGGAGTTCCCTTGGCTCCCAGCTTTGCAGCAGGGGGTAAGCAGGACTCTCCTCTGCGGGGCCCGAGGGTCCATTGAATGGCTGTACCACCCAGCGTGCATAGACACAGCGGCGTAGACCAGGTGACTAGATTTTAACATTGGTAAAGCGGGACACCATTGATAAAACTCATATCCTGGCAAAATAGCCACCCTAGCATATACCCTAGCTTGTCGTGCATTCTTTCCAAAATGCCGCGGAATGTGGGAAAAATTGTTAAAAAGCGGGACTGTCCCGCCAAAAGTGGGATGTCTGGTCACCTTAGCTTAGATGTACCACTTAGGGCTATTTCAGGAAAGGGAGTTCTGATGGGTGCTCAATGAACCTCGATTCCAAGCACCAGCGCCGCCCAGTGGAAGAAACGTTGTCACTGCGGTTGGTAACACTTTAAAGGAGGCCGCTGGGTCTGTTTTAAAGCCTCTTTGGTGAACTGTCTGATCAAAACACCTCCTTCTCTCATTTCTTGTTCCCTCCATCCCTCTTATGGATGAGCCACAGAGCTGCTGTGTGTCTGCCAAGACAACCATCTGCATAAATGTCGTGGTTACATAAAAACGCCCCCAACACGTTCATGGGAGAGAGAACCCCTTGGCTTGGACGCGGCAAACGGCTGGAGACACGCAGCCTGAGGCTCAGTGCAGTCGAGCTTGGCAGTGAGAAGGCACGAGCATCCTGGAACGAACCGGACGCTGCGGATGCTCTCGTTGCAGTTGGAAAAGGAAAGGATGTCGCTCATATTGCACCCAGCTCGGGTTGTCCGTATTTCACGGTCTGTCGAGCCAAGAGCGATCAGAACAGCTAGATGAAAATTAAGGTCGTACAGGCTGACACCACCCCACCCCACCTGGATTCCCCTATCTTAAGTAACGATGGTAAAATTTCATGAAGGAGCCCTGGTGGCGTAATGAGCTACACGTTGGGCTGCTAACCGCAAGGTCAGCGGTTTGAAACCACTAGTCAGTGCTTGGGAGAAAGATGAGGTTTTCTGCTCCCAGGAGGGAGAAAAAGAGGGGCTGATACCAAGGGCTCAAGTAGAAAGGAAATGTTTTGAAAATGAAGATGGCAATGTCTGTACAAATGCGTTGGGATACAATTGATGTATGGATTGTTATAAGAAATGTAAGAGCCCCCGTTAAAATGATTTATTAAAAAGATGATTGCAGCCGCAGATACCCACTGGGGCAGTCCTGTCTGTCCTTCTGGGTCACTGTGAGTCGGCATCGACTTCAGGGCAGGGAGCCTGGTTTTTGAGTGTGGATTCATTAAGTAAGGAGCCCCGGAGGCACTGTCCAGTAAGCATTGGGCTGGTCACCACCTGGTCAGTGCTGGGTCAAACCCACCGGCCACTCCATGGGAGAGACATGAGCTTCAGAAACCCTCCCAGTGTTGCTGAGAGTCAGGAGCCCCTGGTTCTGGGGTTCGTTCAGTACCTGAAGCCTAGCAGGCAGAGTTGCCAGATGGTCCGGATGTGTCAACCCTCCGGTGGCACCGCAAGGTTGGCAGTTTAAGTCAGGTGCCTCAGAAGAAGAGACAGCGGATCTACTTCTGGAAAATCAGCCGCTGGGAATTCTGCAGGGCAGCTCTTCTCCTCGGACGCTCACGGGGTCACCACGAGCCCACGGACCCAAAGGCAGCCGGCTTTCCCTACCAGGCACTGTGTTGTGCAAACCCCCCTGTGTTCCACCCCATTCTCCCACAGCTCTGTGGACGGGGCATCCTGACCCCTGTGTTTCAGAGAAGGTGCTGGGAGCTTCACGGAGCTAAGACATCTGTCCAGCGTCACCAACGTCTAGGCTGGCCTCCGAGCCAACGCCTCGCTTTCTCCGGAGCCCGCGGTTGTAACGGCTTGGCCTTGTTCTTAGCGGTCAGGTGTTCTTTGAGATGCCCGGATTTAGCTCTGTATTCCTAGGTGATCGTAACTGGTTGAACACTTCTCCAGGTTATGTTGCCCTTTGCTTCTCTCCTCTGCAGGGAACCAAAGTTCTGCAGACGTTCATGTGGTACCTGAATCCCCGGCAAGTCTTTGATCTTTCCCAGGAGGGGCCCAAAGACGCGTAAGTCCAGATGTGGCTCCGGGCCCCGTCCATCAGGCAAGGGAGGAGGACTTGCTGCCTGGAGGTGGGCCTCGGTTTTCAGGTTGCTCTGCCAAGTGCTTCTGAGCCGCGCGATGACTCTCCTCCCTGTCGGGTGCATTGAGCGGTGCCCTTCTGTAGGGGTCCCTTCTCAGCCCCCACAGTGCAGCTTGCGGTGGGCTGTTCACAGCTTAGGTACATGGCTGTGGCTGATCAGCACCACCATGGGTGGGGACAGGACGGGTCCCACCTCTGCCTGAGGCAGGCGTCCACGCAGGCAGGAGCATACACGGAGGTCCATGTCGATGGGGGTGTAAATGTGTCTTTTGGGTGGTGGTCATCATCATTTGGGGGTGTGTTCATTGATTTGGATCAGAGGCTGTGTGTGTGTGTATGTGTGTGTGTGTTTGTGTTACAGAGGGACCAAGTGATTGATTAGACTCTGGATTCCACACCATTGTTGGAATCCCTTCTTAGTCTCTCTGTTGAGTTTCTCTAAAAATCCCCTCCTCTTGTTTGGTTGCAAGTGCTGAGAAGTAGGTCAAGTCTTAGGTCTCATTGGCAGGCCCCCTCTCTTCCAAGGAGAAGGGAAGAGGGACATGTGGTGGGAGAGAGCAGGGACTTGCCTGCTGTTGTTTGCTCTTCTTTTTAAACCGTATCTATTAAGACAGATCTCTGGTGACACTCTGAGTAAGGCTGCCAACCACGAGGTTGGCTGTTCAAACCCAACCATCGCTCCTCAGGCTAGAGATGAGGCTGTCTGCTCCTGGGCAGGTTCATTACTCTGAAGACCCTCTGGAGGGTTGCTTTGAGTTGGCCTTGCCTCAGTGGCAGTGGGGTTTGTTTTTGTGGCACGGGGAGGGGTCGTTTCAGTTAGAGTTCACATGCATCTGATAAACATTGGTGTTTAAGGGGTCCTGTTTTTTTAGCAAGTAACAATGTCAGAAGGGGAGTTCTAATGGCATTGTGGTTACACGTTGGGCTGCTAATCACAGAGTCAGCAGTTCAAAGCCACCAGCTGCTCCATGGCAGAAAGCAGGGCTTTCCACTTCTATAGTTAGAGTTTGGGAGACTCACAGAGGCGGCTCTCCCCCATCCTACAGGGTCACTGTGGGTCGGCATCGGCGCAATAGCAGATCGTGAACAGTGTTGGAGGCATAGCCACCCCGGTGGTTCCTGGACAAAGAGCATCCCTGTAGGCAATGGGCAAATCTCTTATTTTCAGAGTGCAGGATCACCAGATGGAATGTAAAAGTTAATTTCCCTGCCCTTCTTTTAACCTCTGCACTCAGCCATTAGACCCTGCCGCCAGCCTGCTGTCCGCTGGCCTCGCTGCGAATACACCAAGGCCAATGGCCAACATGCCTTTTGTCCTTCCAGAGACTGTTTAAAAGATTTGATCCCTTTTGCCGAACTTCAGGTAGGCAGACACTTCATGGGTCACCAGGAAGGCACGCGGGGAGCAGAAAGCCATCTCAGAAGAAGACAGGGCTTATGTAAATGGCTCAAGGACAGAGCCATTCAAGCAGACGCTTTACCAGGAGTGGTGTGGTGGCATCAAGGAGATGGACGAGATGATGGTCTAATGATTGAGTGGTTCTCAACCTTCCTAATGCCGTGACACTTTAATACAGCTCCTCGTCTTGTGATGAACCCTAACCATAAAATTATTTTCGTTGCTACTTCATCATTGTAATTTTGCTACTGTTATGAATCAGGCGACCCCTGTGAAAGGGTCGTTCGACCCCCCAAGGGGTTGAGACTCACTGGTTGAGAACCACAGATTCAGAATAATGGAAAACCATGGGATCTCCCCACGTTGGGTGGGCGGTGGGAGGGAGAGAACTGAGAGGGGATGGAATCGTGGGTGTGAGAGTCATGACACTGCAGTGGCCATCTGATGCCACACAAACATAGGCTCCCTAGGACTGAAGATCAGGAAATATACACACAAGCAAACAAACCCAACAGCCAAACCCACTGCCATCAAGTCAACTCCAACCTGGCCCGTAGGGTTCCCAAGGTGGTGAATCCTTACAGGTGCAGGCTGCTCCATATTTCTCCCTGGTGGGTTTGAACCACTGATGTTTAGGGTAGCAGCCAAGTCATTTAACGACTGACCCCCAGGGCTCTAAAGATTAGGAAGTATAGACTGGAAAGAATCAGTAGTCCCAGCGTACCCATAATTACCCACACTAAACCCAGTGCCATCCAGTGGATTCTGACTCATAGTGAGCCTGTAGGACAGGGTAGAATCGATCACTTGTGAATTAGGTGGGGGTTTCCCTTTTGGGTAATCAGCTTTGTGTCCAATAACGTATGGCTGCTGACTGCCTCATCTTTCTTCTGTGAAGTGGCTGGTGGGTTTGAACCAGCAGCCTTTTGGTTCACAGCCCAACACTTTACCCACAAAGCCTCCTAGGGGCCTTTGTATTTAAGTAGATCATCAGTGTCTAGTTGTTGTTCTTTGGTGCTGTCCAATCAGTTCCTCATCAGGGTGACCCTCTCTGTACATGGAACGGAACTCTGCCTGGTCCTGCACCATCCTCCCAGTTGTGCTTCTGTTGGGACCCACCAATGCAGCCGCTGGATCACCCACCAACCCTTTACTCTGCCCCAAGCATGGTGTAACTGTGGGTAGAGAGATGAGGGCTACTGATGACCAGCCAGCGATGGCGAACGAGGAGAGACGGCGACAGGAAAAGGCAGAGAAGGGTGTTACGTCTCATGCGGAGGATGGCGTGTGTGGACAAGGTCACAGGAATTGTGGGGACGAAGAGCCCAGAGGGTCCTCCAGCCCCACTTCCGCGTGGGCCATGCAGAGGGAATGCTGGCTACCAGCCTCTGAGGCAGCGTTGACCCGCCCCTCCCATGGGCCCTCGGTGACCATGACACCCTTTCTCCGAGAGACCCTTGCCCCCTCCTTCTTCCGGGGCTTGCTCTTTGAGATGACCGGCTGTGTGCTCCCCCATGGACTTCTCCTTCTCTTTCGTCTGCAGGCTCGAGTTGTATAGGAAGGTGCCCAACCTGCGCATCCTGGCCTGCGGCGGGGACGGAACGGTAGGTCTTCAAAGGGGGACCCTACTCCCTCCCGCATGCATGCCTGCCGTCTGCCCTTCGTTTCCGCCCAGGTGGCCACTCCACCTCACAGCCTCTACAGCCCCCCAAGACACACTTCGCTCTCAGGAATCACTGCCCCCAAGGGTTGGAAGGCAGAGCCCTGGTGGTGGGTGGGTCCGTGCTTGGCTCCTACTGGAAAGGTTGGTGCTTTGAGCCACCTAGCCACTCCGAAGGGGAGAGATGCAGCCCTCTGCTTCTCCAAAGAGGACGGCGTCGGAATCCCGATGGGGAAGCTCTCCTCTGACCGGCAGCAGGAAGTGCTGGAAGGCAGCTGTTTAAAGTTGGAAGGGGCCCTGTTGTAATCCCCGCCGACTGATGCCTGTTCCTTCCAAATGATGCGCCCTGTCTCCCCCATGGCCCCACGTCCTTTCCCTCTCCTCCAGAGAAGGGCGCTGCTCAGTCCAGAGGTGACGATGACAGATGGTCAGATCCTCTTGAAGGGTCAAGTGACATCTTCCCATTTGCTCTTCTTTGTGGCATGGCCATTAGGAAGCCGAAGAATGTCAACACAGATGCATTATTTTCGCTTAGTTTCTTCCTTCTGGAAATAAAACTCAGAAGGTTGACTGGCATGGGTTGGCCTAAGGGCCTCTGTTGTTACTCCGTTTCAAAGCAGTGATGGCCTTGGCAGCAGGTGACACGGCAGGTCTGTTTTCCCCTGTGTATTCAGCCCCGTCTGCTTCTCCTCCCTGTGATGCCCCAGGACCCTGGTAGCATAGTGGTTACACAGTGGGCTGCGGTTTGAAAGGTCTGCAGTTCACAGCCACTAGCCACTCCTTGGGAGAAAGATGGGGCTTTCTACTCCCGTAATCAAGGGACTTGGAAACCCACAGGGACAGTTCTGTCGTCCTAAGACTCGCTATGAGGTAGCATCGACTCAGTGGCAGAGTTGGGTTTTTTTTAAGCTGCTTTAAGGAACTCTGGTGTTGCAGTGTGTTGAGTGTTGGGCCGCTGAGCAGTTTGAACCTACCAGCACCCCTGTGGGATACAGATGCGGCCGTCTGCTCCTGGCAAGATGTCCTGTCTTGCAGACCCTTCAGAGCAGGTCGACGCAGCCGTCCAGGGGCGCCGTGAGTAGGAATCGACGAGGTTGCAGTGGGGGCCAATTGTTGCTTGGCAGGAAGTCAAGGCACCGCCGCACAGAGAGCTGTGTCATTTCAACCTCGCCACTGTCCAGGGTCCTTCTGAATGAGGAACCGGGTTTCCATGGGTGTGCTCCCCAAGTTAGTGGATTGCACCCTAAAGGCAGCAGCACCCCCTTCTCTCTCACTTGCTTGTCTCCTCCTGGCACCCAGCCCTTCGGACAGCCCTGGACACATTCTGTCCATGAGGGTGCTGCTGGGATGAACTAGAACACATCCCCACCCACCCCACCCCGCCACACCACGCCCCCAATGGCAAAACCTTTCTCAGCTGGGAAACACTCCACCCCGGGGCTCGCCATTCTCAGCCTCCACAGCCCGCACTGCTTCCTTTAAACTTTGCTCGTCATATCTCGCAACCAAGAGGCCAGATCCATGAACTTGGTTGATGTTACGGTGTGGTATCTCAGACAGGGGGCGTGTCTCTGTCGGCCTCTCTCGGAATCCAGGACCGTGTCCCCGGGGCTTCTCACCAGGCTCGTCTCCGGGGAAGAGCATGTTCACTTTGCTTTTTCTCTTCTGCTTTCCCCGTCCCGGTGGATTTGGTCCCGCCCCCAGGACCTCCCAGAGAACTGGGTGTTCTCTGCGTGGCGAAGGCACCCAGGCCGAGGAGATGGCAGGGGTGTCCGGGGATTGGGCGAAGTTCGTGGGCCGGTGGCCGACACT